CACTAAAATGCCCTTAACATGATGTTTTGTACTTTTCTCCAAACCTATATTTTTTTGCCCCTTACCTTTATTCACAATTCTTTTTTGGCATTAAACATCACTAGATTCACCCTAATATGAAAATCTATCAACCAACCTCCATTTGACCTTACAATAGCTCTCATTGCCCTTCTTTCATCCTTGAACTTCAAAACCAAATTTTTTACCATTTCTGCTTTTCTTAAGTGGGATAAAAACATTAACCACTTGACCATAATTTTGACATGCCTTCCATTGCCATTTTTAGTCCACACAATGTGGAATATTGTTCACAAACATTATAAACACCATTCTATTTTTTGGAGTATTAAATAAAACAAGATAGACCAACTTTCACACTTAAAAAAGTGTAAAAGTTGTTGGGACAATGTTCACATGTAAGTAAAAAATCTCACATCACTAAGAATTTTGAAAAAGATATTCTATATATACATAGAGAACCTAAGAACTTAATAACTTAAGTTTTTGGGTTCAAGTGGTGTCTAATATATATGTATGGGCTCTTGGGTGTGCTCCCGTGACTTCAAGTGTGACTTATCTCCCTAAAAACTGTATCAAAGCTGAAAATTTGACTTAGATGCAGTGAGTGTGTGGAATCCACTACAAAATATTTTTCATATATTGATGCTTGGTTATATTGATAGTCAAATTTCATCAGTAAAAAAGACTTTTATTGATAGATTTTTAATACTGTCAGAATATACCATACTTATACTAATATTTTATTTAACTGTCGGTATAAATAAAAATTTTCTAACGATATATGACTATCCATCAGTATAAATATGTTATATACTAATGGTTATTAACATAACCGTCAGTATAGGCTCAAAACAAAAAAAAAATTATTTACTTACAAAAAATTGAATGACATTATTGAAGGCGTTTTTGTCAAAAAAACGCCTTCAATAATCCATTTAAAAAATTTTGGAGAGAGATTATTAAAGGTATTTTGAGCCAAAAACGTCGTCAATAATCCATACAAAAAATTTTTATATGGATTATTTACTAACAGTTAAATTCCATCAATAAAAAAAATTTTTACTAACAAATTTTTAATACCGTTAAAAATATACCATTACTTTATACCAACACTTTATTTAACTAGCACGTATAAATTAAAACTTTTTCTAATGCGTATATGGACTATGGTCAAATATAAATATTTATGTATACTAAACAGTTATTAATGTAACTGTTAGTATAGGGCTCAAAACAAAAAAACATATGGCCTAACAAAAAATGGAATGGGATTTAACCTAAAGCATTTTTGGCCAAAAACGCCTTAATAATCCATACAAAAAATTTCAGAATGGATTATTTAAGGCATTTTTGTCTAAAAATGCCTTCAATAATCCATACAAAAAAAAATTTTGAGAGAATTATTGGAGGCATTTTTTGCCAAAAACACATTTAATAATCCTCTAAAAAAAATTTAAATGGATTATTGAAAGTATTTTTGACAAAAAAAATACCTTAAATAATCCCCCATAAAAATTTATTGAGGGGATTATTAAAGGCATTTTTGGCCAAAAATATCTTCAATAATTTCTCATAAAAATTTATTAAAAAGATTATTGAAAGTATTTTTAGTCAAAAACACCTTTAATAATCTTTTGAAAAATTTTAAAAAGGATTATTGAAGGTATTTTTTGCTAAAGATGCCTTTAATAATCCCCTTGAAAAAATTTGAAAGGAATTATTGAAGGTATTTTTTACCAAAAACACCTTTAATAATCCCTTCAACAAAATTTGGAAGGGATTATTGAAAGTATTTTTTACCAAAAATACCTTTAATAATCTCTCATAAAAATTTATTGAGGAGATTATTGAAGGTATTTTTGGTAAAAAATACTTTTAATAATCCCTTGAAAAATTTTGAAAATGATTATTGAAAGCATTTTTTGCCAAAAATATTTCAATAATCTTTCATAAAAATTTATGAAATGGATTATTTAAGGTTTTTTTGATCAAAAATACCTTCAATAATCCCTCATAAAAATTTATTAATGGGATTATTCAATGCATGTTTGGCCAAAAATACCTTAAATAATCCCATTGAATTTTTTATAAGAGATTATTCAAGGTATTTCTGGCAAACAACACCTTGAATCCCAAAAAAAAAGGCAAGCTTATGAATTTAAATCATTTTTTTTACATCCACCTCCCACCGACTCTATACACTTAATCTTCACCTCTCACCAACTCTCTCTACCCATCGGTACCCATAGCCTAATCTCCACCTCCCACTAACTATCTTCACCTCTCACCGACTCTACAAACTTAAACCCATCAGCATCCATTTTGTTTTAGAGCTGAATCAAAGTTGAAGTATCAAGATTCTCATCATTTCTCAAAGGTATTTTTCATTTTTTGCATTTTAATTTTGTGTTATCTAGCATGCCTAATTTTTTATATATTTTTAGTTGCATTGGATAAATCTAAGCCCGGTCTTTGTCACCTCAAAAAGTAGATGAGGGCCTAAAAATGTTATTAGCGACACCATTTTTGTTAATGGAATAGCTTTAATAGGAAAAATATATGAAAACTTCATCTATTCTACTATGGATTGGTGGCCTCTTGATAAATGTGACTATGGAACATGTGGCTGGGGAAGAGTTTCTCTTCTTAATCTAGTAAGCAACTTATCCTTAGGCTTCTCAAATAAAAACATCACAAAAAAAATCCTTCTTTTTAAAATTTTAATATCTAATTTGCTTTTACAAAAATTTCTTAAATAACAATTGGCTGATTAGGAATGAATTGTGTGGCTCCGACGTTGGAACAAGAGTTGCAACAGACCAATATGCATTTGATGTGAACAATCTTCAAAACAATATTTAGAATATATATAGAGAATTTGAGATTCAGCCATTAGTAATAACTCCAAGAGGATTCTTTGATGCAAACTTCGAGCATCATGTTTGTAGACATTCATTCATAGATATTAATGTTTTTTTTTTAGATTTGGTGTAATGATATTAGTTCTTGACTTATTTTAAATTTATGGATTATAAAACAATTTGGTTGTTGTTTTATTTCAAATGTTATTAAATATTTTTACTTTTTTGTGTATTTTTATTTTATATGAAACCATATCATATTATGATTACAAATAAATTAACATTAATAATTGAAAATATAATTAAAAAAAAAGTTTTTACTGACACCTTAAAATTTATTCCAACTCATTTTACTATTAAAATATTTTAGGCTATACTAATAGTCATCAAGGACTGTCAGTAAAAGTTAAAACACATAAGGCTATATTAACGGACATTGACCGTTGGTAAAAGATATACTAAATGAGACATCATCGATATAAGTTAAAAAAATTAAAACATACAAGTCTATATTGACGAGCATTAACCATCATTATAGACAAGAAAAATTAAAATATACAAGTTTATACTGACGGGTGTTAACCATCGGTAAAAGTTATAATGATGGAACACATAACAGATGCTATACCAATAGATATACATTTATTGATGGTCTTGAACTGTAGGTATATCTCTATAAATTATTCTGACACCTTAAAAACCATCAATGTGGGTCTATACCGATAAAAGATATATTGATCGTTAAAAATTCATCAGAATACACATTTTGACTATTGGTATAGGGTTTATGGAGCTATATTAATGGATTTTAGGGTTTTATCGATGCTTTTTTTAGTGTCACTATATGTCAGATTTCTAGTAGTGATCAAAAGACTTAAAAAGGTGATGTACTGAGTCAACCTATGATTAATTGCCAAGCTTGAAAGGTACTGAGACAACCTAGGTAGCATGGTTATGTGCTATGATTGAGTCCAAGCTTGATGAGCATTAAGACAATCTAGAACCACAGAGAGGCAAGGTTGAATGCTGGGCCTTAAGGTGCACTGAGACCATCTAAGACGTGAAGTTGTCTGGCCCAAAAAAGATATTGTAGGACTTACTCACACAAGGGTTGAGGTGGGATTTGCTTAGAACTCACAAGTAAAAGAGGAGATTGTTAGGATAAGGTTCACATTGAGTGAAAAATCTCACATCAATAAAAAATTTAAATGAGATATCTTATATATACATTGAAGACCCAAAAACTCAATACTTTAAGTTTTTTGGTTCAAGTGGTATCCAACATGGGCTCTCTGGTGTGCTCCAGTGACTTCAAATGTGACTTATCTCCCTAACAAAAATTACATCCTATTGTGTTAAGGAAATAAGACTTGAGCAAAGATATAAAACCCTTCCTAAGCCGTGGGCCAAATACAAAGAGAAAACACAACACAACAAGAAAGCGAGCGGGAGTTGCGGCAAATAGGGTTTCAAGGTTTTGCTACAAGTCCAATTACTCTTAAAAAAACCCTTTTTCTTTTTTGAGACCTCGAGGCATTCGACCATAAAGATTGGCTTCATAGTTGAGAAACAAAAAGAAATCTTGCTAGCAAAAGTAAATTGATCCCTCTTAGAGAAGGTTTCGGTAAGAGTTGCTGTGTGCATATTGTTGGAGGCTAAACACTTGGGTGGCTATAGGATCAAGATTACTTTCTTGTTCAAGTATCCAAAGGGATGTTTCAAAATCTTGGTTATAATACCTTAGAGTGCTGGTGTGAATCTTAAAAACATGTTTTATAATTATGCTTTAATCACAGCAGAATACAAAGTATGATCCTAGGAGGGTTCGGCTACTTCTATGTTTAGTTTTTGTTTTTTCGCTGCGTTATTTGATGTTTGTTTGAGAATGAGACAGAACCCTGCAATTATTATATAAGGTACAAATTAAGTGTATAAAATGAATTTTATTAGTGTTAAGTTCACCTTTAAGTGAGCAATTTTTCCCTTTCTACATTGCAAAATATATAAATATAATTTGACAGAAGATCTACTCTCGGCAGGATTTCATCATTACCCTTAATTTTATCAATTTTTTAGCATAAAACGATACAAGTAAAATTCATGGACAATCTCCAAACATTCTCTCTTCTGCAGTTGTGAGAGATTATCATGGACCGTCGACCGGGCGATCCACCGATTTTTCCTAGGCTTGAACGTGCTCATATATAAATGGTTTCTCTTTTTCACTAGGAACTGGGCAGAAAAGCTCAAAGTCAAAGATGAGTAAAGATAGAACTTCAACTAGTAAATACGATTCTAGGGTAAAAAAAAATGTCTTTGCCTTCGCTTAGGATGATAAAAGAAACATTATATGCGCCTGAAATTAGGTCTAGCTACTTTGAAAATTTCAGAAAGTCGGCCTCACAGCCGAGGTATTGAAATGGGAATTTTTGAGTTGAAGTGCCCACATCAAGTTGCGATGAAGGGCTACATTTGGTTTGGGACTGCTGATGATGATCCACGCTCTGAGGCTGAGTTGTTAGGAGCTTGTCCAAGAATGACCATTCACCATTGTACCTGATCTGATCTTGTGGCATCAGTCCACAGCCGCCCCCGCTTGACGTTAGCCTCAATAAGTTTTGAGAGCATTCAATATCCAAGGAGTTCAAAGAGAGAGGTGATATAAAGGAAGAAGCTACAGCTGATGTTTCTGGGCTAAATAATTGCGGGAGGTGCATGGAGCCATCAAAGGAAAAATCATACAGTGCCTGAAAATGATTATGCCTTGGCTCCATTTGAGCTGAAGAAGCAACACTCTTGATGTGACTGAAGTTTTCTTCTTGACTGAAATCTCCCTGAAAATTACCTCTGTTATGATTCTTCTTCTTGAAAACCCTGCAGACAACCCACCCATCTTCCTGCTAAGTCAACACCAACGCAACGAGCAAGCAGTTAATGTAATGTTGCTTATTATCATGTGAGTAAAGCAAACATAGTTTTCTCAAATATTACCTGAACATCAGAGTCATCGTCGTCTAAGCGATACTCATGCATGATCCAATCAGTTTTCTGGCCATGAGGAGCACGTCCCGTGTAGAAAACTAGGGTTTTCCTCATCCCAATTTTCTTGGAGTTGCTGAGGTGGATAGCCTTGTCCCTCCCCGTAGCCTTCCAAAAACCAGCTGTGGTTGCCCGATTTGTTCGAGTTCCTGTTGGATATTTCTTGTCCTTATGGCTGAAGAAATACCACTCGTTTTGAGGACCGGATCCGATTCTGCATTTATCTGCAAGTTAATAGAACAATACAGACAATACCGAAAAAAAAAATGCGTTAGCAATTAATCATAGATTGTTTAGCCTAAAAGCTTATCACTCATCAGCCAGAAAATAAACATGATTGATGAGATGAAGAAATGATCTTTCTGACCTTTGAGGTCCCAAGGCTCAAGTTTGTTGAGATCCACCTCCCTGATAACATCAAGGTCGATAGCTTCATATGAGACCTTCTTCCTCAGGTAATAGTAGAGAAGCTCCTCATCTGTTGGGTGAAATCGGAAACCAGGGGGAACTGAAAGTTGCCCATTTCCTGCCATCATCTTAATTTCCACGATTGCTCTGAAAGAACAAAATACCTTCATAGTTAATAAAGTATATATCATCACAAGGAAGAAGACCCCTGGAGTTGACATTGTACCTGTTAAGAACTTATTAATATAGAAATAGAAACAATCCGAAATTTGTGCAGTGGGTGGAAACTGCGGACAAGTATAACATTAGACATCTTTCTTGTCTGTTAACAATATAATTCTTTCTGTTCTATATTAAAAAATTAAGAAAAAGGAGTTTTAATATAGTTCAAGAATTGATGAAACATAGAGAAAGCAGTCATAGGAATTATATATAATGAGTTAGTTAAATCTGGAGCATAAAGCAAGAGCTAAAAACAGGCAAGAAGGTGAAAAACTATCCCTGAAAATCTAATGACTGAAATGCTATGCATGTGTCACAACCCGCGGAAGTTTCCAGCTTAAGTCCGCACAGTTGCTAGGCTTGAGTTTCCAGGTCGTGACACATGCCCATGCAGTCCAATCTACGTAGTTCCACTGGCAAAGAGCAAAGTAAAGGAAACGAAAAGGAAGAAAAGGCAAACCTTTTAGGCGTGGGAGCAGTGTGAGGGCGATAACAGTACAAGCAAAATAGGACAAGAGAGAGCAAGGAGGAAAAGCAGGCAGCGATGGTGAGAGAGAGAGGTGGTCGATTTCTTAGCTTCAAGGGCACGATGTTAGGGCTTTAAGACAGTGAGAAAGATGTGGATTAGTGCCGACGTACACGACAAAAGAGGATGGGCTGGGTCCAGAAATAAAGACAGATAAAATAGATTTATACGTAATTATGAAGAATTACAAAACTAAAATAATATATTGAGAGAGAGAGGAAAGAATGAGTAAATAACTAAATATGCGTTCTTCGAAGAATATGAAGTATGGAATAGAGGCTTCGGCTAATGTCCGTTGAATGGGAGACCTTAGTCCTGAAAATCGCCTCATAAGAATGAGGAAAATCTGCACAACTGTCAATTACTATATATTAATTAATTAATATTACTATTAGATTTGACATAGAATTGTATACATTCAAAGTCCGCACTAGAGGAACGAAACAATTCCCTTCTGCAATTTGTTCCTTTCATTCCACCACATGTCCACATATATAGTTAACCCGTTTAAATTCATTAATTATATTATTATATTTAAAATACATTAAAATTTTTATTATTCATGTTTAAAATGATTAATCAAATCTAAATGAATTAATCATATCATGTCATATCCAAATGAATTAATCGTATCATATTTAATCAAGTTAATCATGTTAATTGTATAATATATTATATGATCATGAAAAAATCATATCATGCTTAAATTTGTGTAAAAAATGTAACACACTTAATTAATCATGCTTAATTTTGTTTCAAAAATTTTAACTCAATTAATTAATCATGTTGATCCATTTATCTATCATTCAAATTAATTTTACATAACATGATTATGATCTATGACTATCAAACATAAATTTTGACTCTTAATAACAAATATTTAGATAAGATAAACGTATTTAGAAAAGACATTTATTTTTTACTTTTATTACCTAATCTATATAGAAAATTTATTTTAATATTATCATTGAAAATTTTTTAACTCCATAAGTTAATTTAAAATTTTACACATTAATTTTTTATTTTTTATTACATTAAAATATATATCATTTGATTAATTTCACTTATAAAATCTAAAAAATTTAATTATTAATATATTTAATAATTTCTTTTATATATATTTTAGGATCCTTAAAGTATGCAGGCAATTAGTTGCATCGATGAATAATAATATTGGGATGCATAATATATGGCATGGAATTCAGTGCAAGCGTAGGGTAAGCATGTTGAGTTCTTAAATCAAAAAAATTACTACATATATTTATTGGGAAACTCACTCCATTGCACGTTGCATTTCCGGAATTATTTTGTATTTTAATTAAATTAATCGATTGAATTAATTTAATATAATTAATTGATTAATTATTAAATTAATTTTAATTTATTAATAAAAATAATTTTTAAAAAATTTTAATTTTTAATTAATTTAATTTGAAAATCAAATTAAACTAAATGTTAATCAAAATATAATATAAGTCAAGTATAAAATAAAAATATATAAAATTGCTCATTTTATTTTATAAGTTATTAAAGTTTTTAATATAATACTTTGATATTTAAATATTTTATTGGATAATTTTATTTAGTTTGTTTAAAATATGAAAAATTAAGAGTTTAAAATATAATTTAATTTAAATATATTTATTATTTAATTAATCAAAAAAATTAATCTAACCAACCGAACTTATTAAATTCAGTTGATTAATTTTTAAAATTATTAAATTCGGTTTGGTTTACAAAAATAAAATAATTTAATTTTAGATAATTCCATTCGAAATTAATCGAATGAATACTCCTACTCAAAACAATGAAAATGAGCAAACTAATAATCTTTCACGCCCCAAAACTAATAATCTTTTCCTTTCTATAAGTACTTAATTTTAGCATTTTTTATGAAATTATATATGTAGAGAAAGAAAGTTGGATGACTAATTTTTTTTACATAGTAAAAATTAATTTAATAAAAACAAACTGCAAATAATAATTTTATTAGACAAAAGGAAAAGAACTTACATAAGACTTTTTAAATCAAATTTGTAAGGTTTTTCTTGAAAATAATTATATAATATTTTATTTTGAAATTAAAACTTATAAATCAATAGAATTCAATAAAAGATTAATATTCTTGTTCCATTTTTTTGTCCATTTTTAATTTTTGGGGTGCCTTAAAATTATATCATTTTTTTAATATTTAAAACTATTATTTTTTATATTTTAAATTTATTTTTTACGATTCTTTTTATTTTTTGATATTAAAAATCATGAAACCTTAATTTTATAAAAATAAAATTTAAATTTTAATATTAAATATATTAAAATCAAAAATTTTTTTAAATTCCATGAAATTTAATACATGAAAAATATTTTGGGACAAAAGGAATAATGAAAACAAACTAAAAATATATTATTTATAGTCAAATTTTGATGAACACTTAAAAATTATCAAAATTTTTAATAAAAATACCTGTAGAAAGAAAATGTATTATAATTTATTGAAATTTTTTAAATTTTATACCCTTAATTTGTGTAATAAAATATTTTGACTTGAATTTTTTTACTTTAATTTTTATTTAATAATTTTTAATAAAGAATCTAAACACTTAATCTAAAAAAACATTATCTAATTTTAGCCCTGAACAGAACAGTGTTCACTCTTGTAAAATTGAGAACTGAAATTTAGAGGTTTTACTTATTTTTTAGTTTAATTACTAATATAAGGCAAGCATTATTTTATTGCTAGATGAAAATAAAGTTAATTGGTGTGGAAATGCGAAAAGTCCGTGGCCAAATGCGCGGAGTGATGCAACACATACACACACAATCCAATGGGCGGATCGGTTGACTTTAATACATGCAATACAAAGGGATTCTCACGCAACCTCACCTGCTTAATTATGGTTAATTACCCAATCCTTCAAAAGACTTGAGTTATTGATTATCAGTGATTGGTCAAACACGCTGATTGAAAATCTCCTTTAATCTCTCCATAACATCACACACTCCTCTTCTCTTTTCTATTATATTATTTGCTATCCAAAATGTGTTGTGCCGTTGCCTTCACGAACAATACTTGTACCCATTAATGTAAGATGGTCTTGTAATGATTAAGGGAATCCTATGCCCCTCACAGATCCACGTTCATTTTTCCCTTTATGAATCCACGTTACATATATTTTATTTTAAGAGGGAGCATTGATTTATACATTGTAAAATTAAAAGGATTTTATAATTTTTATAATTTTTAATTTTAATAAATTTAAAAAATAAAAGAAATAAATAAAAATAAGAATAAAATAATTTAATTCTATCTTTTAAATTTATTGAAATCAATGATTAAAAAATATGTAAAATTAAAAAAATTATAATGTATATATATATATATATATATATATATAGAGAGAGAGAGAGAGAGAGGCTCTCCTAAATCAAAGTGATTGTTAGATCAACCTAAACTATCATTAATCCGGTGGAAGATTCATAGTTTATGAATAGTGACATTGATTTCGGTAATAATGAAAAAAGAAATATTCAATAAAGACGTTGGATTAAAATTGTATGTAATAATAAATTTTGAATTATTTAACATTTATAAAATTTTTATTTATTATATAAAATTTGTTAGTAAGCAATAAATTTTATTTAAATTATTTATTAATGTATTGTATAATAAAATTTATTTATTAAATTAAGGTCATGTTTAATGTATAAGATTATTGATAGGATAGGATAATAATTATCTTATATTATATTTGATTTGTATCTAAATATAAGGATAATGATTATAAGAAAGATAAATATCCTCTCAATATAGGATTATTTATTCCTCTCAACTAGAAGAAGATTATTTTTAATTCATGAGATTAAACTTACATATTTAATTATACCTTTAAAAATTATATTAATAATTTAATACTACTTTAGCACATAGGATTAGTTGAAAAATAGAATATTGATTATCCTATCACCCGTTTGTTATGCATTTAACTAAAAAGATTGGATTATTAAAAAGATTAGATATCATATGCCAATAAGATAACTATCTTTTGAAAAAGTATAAAATTATTTTTAATTCATAAGATTAAACTTACATATCATATTATACCTTTAAAAATTATGTCAATAATTTAAATTGTATCAACTTTGAAAAAGGATAATTTTGATCAATAAATAAATTATCATATCTTAATCATTGTACATATCAAATATAAAGTAGGATGACATCATTTAATCTAATTTTATTCATAATATTATCTTATACTATCTTATCATAATCTTATATACCAAACATAACTTAAATTATATAAACTTTAAAAAATGGTAATTTTGACAAATAAATAAATTATCTTATTCTAATTCTTACATACATCAAATACAAAATAAAATTATATTATTTAATTTAATTCTATTAATAATATTATCTTATCTTA